TATGTGTGTATGTATGTATAAAATAGTATTAAAATAACACTAAATACTATACAGCAAGCAGCTAATGAAATTATTTTGATTACAATAATCTTTATATAAACACAAGTTATAGTTTTATATTTTTCCTGTGATGAACATTATATAAAGAGATTAACTTCTTTTCATTAAAAAAAAAAATTACTATTAATAAAATGTATAACATTATAAATATCCTAGCTAATCATTATTCAATATTAATTTCCTTTCTATACAATCTCATATTTAAAGAAAGTACGTACTTTGGCATTGTGATTAACAGTTCCAAGTACTTCAACTGAGCCATCCTCATCATCACTATCACTACTAGAGGACCAATCTAGTTGCAAATCTGGTGCTGATGGTGTATTATCATTTTCTATTAAAATCACAAGATTGATAAATCACTTATTTACATCTAAACACAAATTTTAGTACGTCATAAAAGTTATAAAAACGTACGAGATGAATGTATTTCTTGAGGTGTCATCACATTTGACATAACTGCATGGCATAACAAATTATCAGACACATCATCATTATCATTTCCTAAATTTTGTAAAACACTTGTATTTTCTGTTGATCTTGTTATACTGCAAAATAATAATTTATTTATAATAAAGGTATAATTAAGATGTACTCATACAAATATTAATAAAATATAAGTAAATACTTGTTTGAGATAGAATGATCCGACAATCTAGATGGTCCAGCTATACTCAAACTGTCTGGCTGTTGACCACTCAATAATTTTTGTTCCTCGCTTTTTTTAGTTTTATGCTTGACTGTCAAATCACGATCATGCAAAATTCTCTTTCTTCTATAATTATCGCACACTCTCTCCTCACATGAATTATTCAATTGTTGAGTTGGAGGATCTTTTTTAGAGTTTCTTTCTTGTCTATTTTGGCACATGTTGCAATTCAAGAGATCAGATTGCCAATACTCTTGCGAATCGCCAGTTGCATCTTGCTGGGTTAAATAATTTCCATAAACAAAACTGTTCTCGGAAGCGGTAGGATGAGTTGGATTTGAATAAGGACTTATAGCTGTTACATCTGATTCTTCGATATCACTTTCAGCAAATAAATGCTCGTATTCCATTTCATTACCTGGAAATACATTTAATTCACATTACATTATATTGTAACAAGGAAGAAAATCTATACATAAAATATTTTTTGTAATTAGATCAGCAGAAAACCCGTCGAGTCCTTTCCACGTACCGGCAGGAAATCGAGGTTGCGGGGATGGATCAACTGTTGATGTAAATGCTGTATCAAATATATCAGCCAGCGATGTAGAGTTAGCTTCTACAGACGCGTTTGTGGATTCTCCTTGAAAGAGCTCGCTTTGCTCTTCAGGCTTGCCCTTGTGCCAGACATTTTCCGAACTTGTGCTTTCCTCCATCCTACCTCTATATGTCACAACCAATACAATGTGTTAGGCACGATATCAGTACATTTGAGTACATTCAGTTGTTGTAAACAACATTAAAGCCGGAGTACTCGCGATAATTAACTCCGTACAAAAAAAAATAGGAAAATGCACACTAGAGATAAATAAAAAAAAAAAAAGAATTAATCCCTTTACGGATACGAATCCGTGACAATGATCTGTATTAGCGCTGTATATCTGTAATCCCGAACGTTGAAAAGTTTTTTCCCGTTCTTCGCAGCAATGTTTGTGCATTACGCACGGGCCTTCCGAGAACCGTATCGGATTACGGGAAGAAAAGTCTGGGATGCGAGCCGGGAATTCGAGGAAATTCTCCGGCGGATCTCCCCGCAACGAGTTCGTTTCTCGCGATAAAATCGCGGATCGATAGCGCGATGGAATAATCCGAGTGCGCCGAAAGTGCATTTACCTTGTAATACCTTTGACGCTCTCGTCAAGCGATAAGCGTATCTTCTCACCACGTCATTTTTATCAGATTTACTTTCCGCGACACCGCCACCCGCCGTATCATGCTTCGTGACGAACAATGCACCGATATTACCTTCGCGGTCGGGACACTGGGAATTTGATTGAGTCGCGATCCATGTAAAAACGTGGATATAATTAAATTCTTATGTCAGTAATAATGATAATGAAATCGAAAAGAATCTATATAGATTGGAGCAAACCGAGTCCCTTTGGTGATTCACACGTATTCGGCAACCGCGGTACCATCAATCGTATCTCCCGTCAACTACGCATGTCCCTGAAAGACTCGCTGATCATGCAGCGTGCTACCTTGTCAGCATCTCTCCCAGCCAAGGATGCATAAAAATATATGTAAAATATAAACAATAAAAAATAAATAATAAAAACACTCGCAACAGCAAATAAAAATAAATGGAGGCCAAAAAAACGGAGCAAATATAAAGATGCAATCTGGAGAGCGAATAAAAGATATAAACGGATCTATTTACAGTATTTAATTCACAAAATCCATGCGATATAATAAACGTCTCGACGTTTCGTTTAAAAATATATAACTGGAGCACAAAGCATCTCTTTAGATGGAGATAAAATTTGAAGGAGAGGAAAAAAGAATGGAGATCCTTTGCCCACATTGTCGATTGGCCAATTTAAAATAACATTTTTTGATTGATTAATTCAGTGGAAAATCTCCAGACATCAGTCACTGTAAGTGGCGGGTGACACTCGTTTGACCACTTACAGGGGTTGGCGCCTAGAATTTTTCCACTGTTCAAGCGCTGTGAGTGGTCAATCAGGATGTGGTCAAATGGGTGTCACCCGTAAGTGGCTATGTCCAATTGCAACGTAGCCAAACGGGACGCTCCAAAAAAAAAAAAGTTGCGACCATCTCGGTATCTCATTTTTTTCGTTTTAACAATAATCACCGACAAAATACTATTAAAGATCCGATATTCACTGCCAGTCTGAAAATCTATAATATATGTGATATATTATATATTTTTAATATTGGCAGTAAATATCGGAACGCAGCCTATGAATACCGGTCAGTCTTAGTACAGCTAAAAAGAACAAACCTTTAAATATCCACATAACCTAAAAGAGAGCTAAAAGTATAATTAGGACTCTCTTTCCAATGGAAAACAAGATATAAAGATTATTATCCAAATCTATTTAGTCAAAACTTTAAGAGCAATTAAGATTGAAATCGAAATTATTTGAACTTGAATAATTTTAGGTTCAAGATCTAACAAAAGAAAAAAAACAACCGGACAAACATTTTTTTTTACAATAGTGTCTTAATTCGATAGACATTTTGATAAAAGTAAAAGAAAAATATAAATAAAATAAAATAAAAAAAATAAGAAATAACGAGATATTATTTCAATACACAAAGTGATGTATGATATGATATAATGTCGAGTGAAACAGTATTTGTTACGGTTGGCACAACGAAATTCGATGATTTAATAACTACAGTATTAAGTCCTGCAATCTTAGAGGTAAAGCACACTAGAATTGTTTACATTGACCTTTGCGCAGCTGTGTGTTTAATTAATCGTTCTTCATTGTGTTATATGTATGTCAAAGTATTGTACATGTTTACAATTAATATGATTTCAGGCTTTATCCGCACGTAATTATAAGCGCCTGATTTTACAAATTGGCAATAGCAATTTAGAACCAGATTGTACCGCGCGTTGTGGTTTTCAAAAAATAGAAATCTTTAAATTAAGTCCATCCATCGGAGAATATATGCAACTGGCAAATCTTGTGATAAGTCATGCAGGCGCGGGAAGTGTATTAGAAGCTTTGGAGTATCACAAACATTTAATTGTGGTTACCAATAATCTTCTCATGGATAATCATCAAATAGAATTAGCTGAGCAGCTGTATAAAGATGAACACTTGTATCATTGTACTTGTCAAAATTTGTTGCACATTATACAAACAATGGACTTAACACGATTAAAGCCCTTTGTTAATGACAAAAGTACAGATATTGCAAATTTCATCGACAAAATAATGGGATTTAGATGATGACATTCAGATATTTTTGTCAAACGTATGTGGAAATATTCTGTATGCTAAAGAAAAATCAAGTAGTTCTGTGGGAACAAGCAGTAATATTTATATATATATTTGAATTCTTAACATGATTTACAATAAGGATACATACTTTAAGATTCATTGTAATATATATTATGACATAATTTACAATAATAATATACACTTAAACAACCTTCCCTCAAGATTACATATAGAAAAATTTATGACTCTGCATTAGTCAAAATTGTGACAGATCAATGGCAGTTTTAACGTTCCCGTGGATAATTTATAAATTACTCTTGGACGTGAATCATCATTTAACGTAACAATTAATTATAAAGTATTATAAAGAATACTTGTTAAAATAAATCCAGGTCTCTAAAAAAATATCAATTATCTTTCATGCAATCTTTAGCATTGAACACTGTTCTATCATGAACAATTGATATAATATATTAGCAAGTGAAATAACTTTTTCAATGCACTACTATGTTCTGTGAGTTATTGCTGTATGGCATACTTTCAATTTATTCTTCACGAAGACATTTTACATGGATATGAAGAGAACTACACAGAATTATAGTAGTGTGTGTCTTAATTATTAATCAAGCCGAGTCGTGTCATTTCTTTCAGAAGCTCATTACCCATTTGTGCAGGACTCCTCGTTACTATTACGCCAGCCTAATAACAGAATTCACATACATTAATAAAAAATTATTTAAAATGTTAATTAAATGTGTATTAGTAGAAATTTTGACTAACTTTTTCAAGTGCATTAATTTTATCTTGCGCGCCACCTTTTCCTCCTGAAATAATGGCACCAGCGTGTCCCATTCTTCGTCCAGGTGGTGCAGTAAGACCAGCGATAAATGATACTACTGGTTTAGCTTTTCCACCCTATGGCATGACATAAGAATAAAACATAATATACTGATCCTGCAGTGAGTTCTCGGAACAAGTGCGAGACAGGATTTGTCTAGGATGGAAGGGTTGAGGAAGTATCAATAAATTAGAACAGTAACCAACAGTATTTTTTTCGATGAGATATTCTGCTGCAAGTTCCTCTGCACTGCCACCAATTTCTCCTATCATTATAATACCAGTGCAATCTGGGTCAGTAAGAAATACATCCAAACAGTCAATGAAATCGGTACCATTGAATGGATCGCCACCAATACCGATACATAATGTTTGTCCAAGTCCCGTCTTCAAGTAAAAGAAAGTATCGCTATAATATATTGATTATTTTATGATATTATATGAGTACACAATTTTTGAAATGTGCTTACAAGTGTTGTTTGATTCACAGCCTCATAAGTTAGGGTTCCTGACCTCGAAACAATACCAATCTTCCCTTTTTGATGTATATGGCCAGGCATAATACCAATTTTACACTGCAACATTACATATGAAAGAATTATATTATTCATTATCTATAAATTTGATATAATATCTAAAATTATTTTTGTACCTGTTCAGGTGCTATTATCCCAGGACAATTTGGACCAATTAAACGTGATTTATTTTGATCAAGTAATCGTCTTTTCACTTTGACCATGTCATGTTGAGGAATACCCTCCGTAATACAAACAATTAATGGCATTTCTGCATCAATCGCTTCCATAATGGCTGATGCTGCAGCTGGAGGAGGAACATAAATGACTGTTGCAGTAGCTCCAGTTGCTTCTTTTGCCTATAAGATACAAAAGATAATGTTATAGAAATGTACAAGATGCAAAAGAATAGCGACATATTTACCTCTTTAACTGACTTGTACACTGGTTTTCCAAGGTGTTCTATACCTGCTTTTTTAGGATTGACTCCACCTGCTATCTTTGTACCATAATCAAGAGCTTGCTGGCAATGGAAAGTTCCTTGCTTTCCAGTGAAACCTTGACATATCACTTTGGTATTTGCATCGATTTTTATATTCTTCCTAGTTTCTGTGTAATTAAACCTCACCTGAGATCGTAACAAACTTCCACAGTTTCTAACTGAAAAAATTATAAAACAATATCTAAAAAACTATAAAAAATATTACTAGATAAGCTGCTTTATTCTGATAAAACTAAGGGATATATAATCAGAAATTTTTTAGACCTAGGTAATGTTAAGGACTATCTTAGTCCTACTTATTTTATCATTACTACTCATGAAGAAGGAAAGGAATGGAACATGTAATCAAATCTTTCCAATTCAAATGCCAAGAAAATAACAATTTGAATCAAAGAGGTTTTCACCTTATAAAGTTTCTTGAATTATAAAGCCATAAAGAAAAAATGTTATTAGAGATTTAAGCACATGCATATTATTGTTGATATATAATCATATATTTTAAGAGATTATATTTTAATTTACTGAAAAAAATCATATTTTATCTAACTCTTATTGTAGAAAAGTTTTTATATACTAGATTTCAAAGAAAATATTAAATTTATATATAAGCAGAATCTCTTTTGTGATATATTTCAAGCTTTAGAAATAACTGCAGTACTTAATTTCTTCTTCTTTTAAAAATAGTACAATTTTTTTAGGAAATGAATAAAAATTTGAATTATGGAAGTTTCTGAATTAGAGATTTTTTTATGATAGTACTAAGATAGAAAGGAGGAAAAAAGTATATTGCTTACAAATATAAACTAACATCAATATATACGCTCATTTCTACAAAAAATGGATTAATTTTAATTGCATTTAACTTACTTTTAGTCTTTTTTTAATTTCAGTAATTGAGAAAAGATAAAGAAGTTAAAACGAAATTAAAACTAATCTGATACAGATTAACACAAACATTAAAACAAAAAATTATGTACAGATGTACATAAGAAGTATTTAAGATAATATATAGATTAAAAATAAAAGGTATTTACTGTCTTCTTCTATTTTTAGAGTCAATAACAAATTTCAAGAAGTTTGTAGATCAAGGTTCATCTAGCTATATTCCTATGTAAGCTGACATTTGTGCTACGAAATAAAAAAATGAACAGAAGACGTATTTATACAACTTAAAGAGAAAAAAATATGAGAAAAATGTAACAGGAAAGATTAAAGAGTACGAAAGAAGGGGGAAGTATAACCCTAACTACACGAGAGCTATCGAGGGAGGGTCGCGAAATTATCATGAGAACAAATCATTCAATTGCTTTGCGTACATCGTTCCCGATTAGCGAAACGAGCATTTTCCAACACAAGGCGCGACCGGGCAACGATCATGTTCGGACCCTTATATAATGAAATGTTATCGTAAACGGATTGTCAGCATTATTTTTAGTACGTTCATAGGCTACGCGTGGCGTAATCAGCGAGGGAAAAAAGATCTTGAGGGCATTGTAACGTGTAAAAATCTCCGAGAAAACATCGACGATGATGGTGATCAAGCCGAGGATGTTGCCGAAATGTATGCGAATACCCGCCACGAAGACTCACCAGTGAATTTAGAAAAGGCCCTGGCAGCCACAGCCATCTTTCACTTTGTCCTTTCCGCTGAGGAGGAGATGATGTTGAAAATCGAATTAACACCGGAGCACCATTGATAGCACGAGCCAGTACGATCTGACAAGAAGGTCAAGTCCAAAAAGATAGAGACGGGAAATATCGTACAAAGTTGGTTGAGTCACAAACTTGCGAGAAAATAGAACCGAGAGTCCCATCTTAATTGTTACATCTGATTGGCTACGGGAGACCGCATTGCGATTGGACGTGTCCACTCAGATCGGTCTACGGTCTTAAGGGTAGTTGCACACTGAGAGCGGCAACGCGACAACATGGCGATAGCCAATCACCATCTTGTTTTCTAAAATGTGACGAAGTATATATCAAAAAACAAGACAAGAGGTGATTGGCTATCGCGTTACCGCTTTGCCGCGTTCTATGTGCAACCAGCTTAAGAATTTTTCAATAGACCACTTGTCAAGAGATTCAGAGATCAATTGTGCATTTCGAAACAAAGTGAAAATTATAAGAATAAGAAAATTTACTAGAGTATTTTATAATTTTATATGTTGAAAGTAAATTTCTAGTAAATTTCTTTATAATTATTGTATATGTAAAATTATATTATATTAAATACAATGAACGATGCTTGAAGATTTTCCACTGGATCAACCAATCAGAAAATTTTATTTTAAATTGGCCAATCAATAACGTAGTCAATTGGGCATCCTTCAAGAAATATTAAAATGCATTATTTAAAATAAGTACCGTGTGTGGTGTGTGGGGGAGGGGGGGAGGGGTGGCACACTAATGTGCCTAGAATACTATTTTATATATTCTAGGGACTGTAGGGAATGTGTTCTAGGGATTCTAAGCGCAACCGTTGTGTTTTCTGGACATTATCTTTTTTTCTCTGTCGAATGAACATCACACAGCAGCTGTAGTTAATGTTAGTTCCAGAATTTCAGTACGTCTGTTGAAATTGGTTGAAGTTGGCGCGATCAACGGAGATTGTTTCTATTTATCACTATTATTGACTATTTATGAGAAGAGATTGTAAAATACTGTAGTAATGAAGGCATCATTGGATCCGATATATGTGCAGGTATCGTGTGTCATTTCGTAGCAATATATCGGAGTTACATGTGTGACTCCAGTGAATTATAACCGGCGAACAAGTTGTATTAAAAATCATGTTTGGCAACTGCACAACTACTTAAAAAATTTATTTCATTTGTCTTTATTGTTTTCTTCATACGCAAAGTGTTATTTCCTGGATAATTCTGTGAACATTCGATAAAACAAGCTTGCACAAGTGATTCGTTGATTGTTAAAATAAAATGTCTATTAATAAATAAACTATGCAAGTTTATATATTAATGTCCTTGATATCTTGTTTTTATATAATCTGAAACAGTTTTCATAAGTAAAATTGAACAAATTGTAGAAATTATCTGCGATGTTTGTTTCTAGCAATTCAAAAATGAATGTACTTTTTTAAGATATAAAGTATATTTGTATGAAGTATTATACAAATATCGATTATTTTTCACTAAATCTCATGTAATGAATCTACCATGTGATTCTTTATGCTATAGAAAACAGTTTTTTGTATTCAAACAATAGTTTTTAAATGAAAAATATTTTAAACTAATGAATGAACGCTTAAAATTATATCAACTTTTACTTTAATTACTTAAGGAAAGTAGCATGTGTTGAATTTGTATACTGTTTTACCATTTTTTAAAAATTTTATAAGAATTGCGATATGTTTAAATAATGTTTTGAGTGCAATTTAGAATACCTTTTTTTAAATTATGTTTCTTGATATCTTATTTTGTATTTATTGTTATTATACTTTTAGGAATTTATATTTAAACAATCAAATACATCTCAAGTATTTGATTTGAAGACTCCTGCATACATTCCTGCCGCTTGCAATCTTCTTGTAGCTGACAAAAAACGAGGACTGCTGTATATAGGACACGATGATAAAATCACTGTTTTAAAGCCAGCGGAGGAAAACAATGCTGAGTGGAAGATAGAACTTCAGTTGCCAGGCGTTATATCAAAAATTGCAATTAATTGTGATTATAATTATATTGCTATAGGCATAGCATTGAAGCCTACAATATTGATATATGATGCCCATTCATTAGCTAGAAATGTATGCACGTAGCATATTTTTGTAGAAGTTTTAAAAATATTTTCATGTTTTAGTATTATAGAAAATTAGATATTGTTTATTTTATTATTAATTGATGTATTAATTTTCAGAGTCTCAACCTGTTGCTCGAAATAACATCATCAAACAAGTTGGATAGTTACATAATGGACATACGATGGAATCCTACTGTACCTACAACGTTTTGCACTGTTACTAGTGACTGCACTATTGGTAGCTTCCAACTGAAAGTAGAAGAAGAAATAAGAGAAAATTTTGCTCCAAAGATATCTGTCTTGTCCAAAGTGTCTAATGAACCACAGGCTTTATGCGCAGCCTGGAGCCCCAAAGGCAAACAGATAGCAGTGGGCTGCAAGAATGGAGATATCGTACAACTGAAGCCAGATACTTTGAAAGTCGCTAGAACTATCGCAGGTCCTTCACCATCCATCGGAGAGGTAATTAGCATCCTGTGGATCAGCAATTATCAATTTTGTGCCGCATATTTAAACAATGAGCGGCATATAAATGTTCTCATTGTTGATGCGCCAAAAGGAGAAGCAAACGCTATATTTACATGTTATGAAGATATTACATATGGTTTCCCCGACACCGAGGGAGAAGACAGTGTTCCACGTTATTATTTCGAGCATATACCAGAATGGGGACTTATCATAGCGGGCAGCAGCACCAGTAGCGAGATAGCTGTGTTAGGCACTACAAACGGTGGCGTAAATTGGAATCAATGGCAATTGGCCGATAGTGGCAGGGCTCAATTACCACTGATAAGAACAACGGAAATTTATCCCTTGGGTCTGGCCGTGGACAAGTCTCCGACCAATCGATTACCGTGGGGTACGGACTCGATATTGCCGCATCCAGTTCCTGTTTTGCATATTCTTGGAACATCCGGAAAATTGTGCAGCTTCCACATGGTCAATTTAGCATCCAACTGTCCTGCCATCAATGTTCCTCCTACGGAAATTATCACACCTCCGGTACAGTCACAGCCTAATGCTTTACCCGCAGAAATGTCTTTCAGTATGAATGCCGCGGTGACCAGCACGCCACGTTCGAAGCAGGTGGAAGCAGCGCCAGAACGATCAAAGCCCGCTCCGGTGACGAGTATATTTGGCGATTCTCTAAAAGCAGCTGGATTTTTTCAACCATCTGTGGAACAATCAACAGAACAGCAAAAGCCACAAGAAGAAAAAGCCGCGCCGCTAGCATTTGCGAAACCGGTTACGCCCAAGGAATCGCCAGCACCAGAACCTACGAAGACGGAAATCAAACCAGTTGTAGATAAGGAAGCGAACACGCCGCAAGTAACGGAACAGAAAGTTTCTATAGACGATAACATACGGTTACGAGCTTACATACAGGAGCAAGCATTGTTTGAGAAAGAATTACGAAATAAATTGGAGCCACAGACATGGGAATGCGGCACAGATGAAGAAAAAAAACGACTCGGAGAAACATCTATGCTTATAGAACAGTTCTTGAGAGATTTAAAGGATACGACAAACAGTCTGTCCAGTGACATAGCGTACTTGAAAGCTTTGTTACTCCAATCATTCGCGTGGGTCGAAGAAACCAAATCAAAGAATACAGCGAGTGTCGATATCACAACTAGAAACTGCAGTGAGAACAGCAAAATAGCGGATCTACAACGATGGTATTACTACACTCAGACGCAATTGAATCAAGTCAGCAAAATTTTGGACTTAGAATGGTCGGAGCACAAAGCACAGGCGAAATCAAAGATGAAGATTCCCAGCTTGGAGTACGTGTATCAAAATCTGTTGATGCATAACAAAATTATTGCGAAGGAAAAAGAGAAGCTCGAGCAGATCTCGCGGCAATGGCGATCCCTCAATCGCTCGTTGGCGGCTAGTGGTATGTCCAGCCTTAATCGCTCGATGGCAAGTTTGCAAGTGACCTGTCCAAAGTCGCCAGCATCGATTATTCGAGGAAAAAACGACGTTATAGATGCCCGTTGCAAATTCATTGCTTCAAAGACCCTGAGCTTTACACAGGAAAAGCAGATTAAGTTAAGGACATTGCTCACCGAATCATCTCCAAGAGTCATCAAGCCAGTCAATCCATCACCGATCCAAGATCGTCTAAAGGCTACACTGTCTTCCCTAGCATCTCTCAGTCCTGTGGTGAACGAAGCTAAGACCAAAACCGAACCACCGATTGTTAAGCAGAACATCATCGTCAAGCAGCCGATTGAGAAACAGACCAAGTCACAAAGTCCTCTCGCTTCGTTGAACAGCATCGTTGCGAGAATCGGTTCGTCCGACACGAATGGGATCATTACGCAGAACAAAACCCAACAGAAGCCACTTCCAGCGATCGTTTCTTTCTCCGGTGCGCTTTCTACCAAGCAAACGGATAAAAAGCCCATCGCATCGGCTGTCCTCGCAACGCCCCAATCTAAACCGAAACAAGATCTCAACGTTAACTTTCCACCGTCTATCACGTTTGGAACGTCGACACCGAAGTCTCAGGAGATCCTCTTTCCAAGATCACTTCTTACAGATACGACTGTCAGCAATAATAAGGAACCGGCGAGCAGCGACAGCGCCTGTAAAGTCTCGGAATCTGCTCTATTCTCGACCGGACTGTTGAAGGATGTATTATCAACGGAATATCCATTGACGGAGAACGCCCGCATGGGAATCGCACGTAACATTTCTCTTTCTACGGCACCAACTGTGAAAACGGACGCTGCCGCCACATTCAGTTTCGCTACGCCTATAGTTCCTCCTGTCGCGAAGACTCCAACTTCCGGCACTGCGCTCGACATGGTGTCCTTTGCTTATTTAAAACCCACTACCTCTACCGTAGAACCACTCACGACAACGGCTCAAATGCAAACACCGATAGAGTTATCGACTTTATCATTGGAATCACCTAACAAATTAATCCTTCAATCGGTGGATCAGTCAGGCAACAGCGCCAACGGAAAGATAAATGCGATCACGACTTCCATGAGCTTCGCTACACCCGCACCTATTGTTACAACACAGGCTCCCACAACGACTGCCATTACTTCCGTTATGACCCTTGGTGAGGTCACCATTAGCGTTGTAAACGCAAATAGCACACGCAGACCAGTGACAGAGATGCCATCCACCAGCTCGGTTATCGAGAAAGTCACTACGTCTGAAGTGAAAGCACCCACCTTCGGTACCACCATAGCTGCCCAGGCTCCAACTTCGCTAGCAGCAGCAGCACCAATATTCGGCGGTCTGACTATCATGAAGAATACGGCAACAGCAGAGGCGACGATCACACTGCCCGCTACGACTACCTTCAGCACAGTTTCATTCGGGACATCGACCTTGGCGCCGACCACCGCGTCGGAGTTCAGCGGATTTGCGAATATGTCCGCAGGCGTTAGCACTAGCTCCTCGACGATGCCTGTGAGCAGCACTGTATCTCCTTTCCAGACCTCTCTAAGTAAACCAACATTCGGTGAGCCCGTTGCCACCAGTATGCCGGCCACGAGTTTCGGGATCAACTCTGGCAACACCTCTGCCACGGGTACAATTTCATTCGGCATGTCCGCGGCGACAACGACGGCGACAACGACGGCGACGACGACGGCGACGACGACGATAACGACGATAACGACGACAACCTCGATTACGCCGGCATTTGGCAAGAGTCCAATATCGTCTCCAGTGTCAAACACGCAATTCCCAGATGTTCAAACATCCGCGTCAACGGCGAATGTCTTTGCGAAGCCGATTATCAGTCTCGCATCATCACCGTTTGGCAATTCCTCGAACCCCGTATTTTCCAACACGCCTGCCACTTCCTCGAACACCTCCATGTTCGGAGGCAACAGCATGAATTCCATCTTTGGATCGACTGCCCCGAGCGGAAGTATCTTCGGGGGTAACACGACAGGATTTGGCACGGCCTCGACGGGATCTATATTCGACACCAGTGCCCCGAAACCCGGCATTGTGTTCGGTGGTGCGACCAACGCACCTGCCTCTCCATTTGGTGGTGCGACGAGCAACGCGTCGCCAACGGTGGTCAGCGGTTCTCCTGCAAACGCAAACGTCTTCAGATCTACCGTGTCCAACGCTTCTCCCATACAGCAACCATTACTCAGCAATCAACCCGCTTTCGGACAGGGTCCCGCTTTCGGTGCCAAACCAGTGTTCGGCTCATCGCCCATCTTTGGCGGATCGAAGCCCGTTTTCGGGGGTAGTGGTTTTGGTTCATCCCTTGCATTCGAATCTCCTGGCATGGGTAAATAAATAGCTGATATCATTACACATTCCTAAAATGAAAACAGTGTGACAGTTTATATATTTATCTTTGAAGAATATCTTTTCCTTGTATTTTATCATTTTTTTTTAAATCCAACAAAATATGTATATATGGATAATATTTCCGTTAGTTTCATAGACGACTGGATGGCATATATTTTTCACTTGTAATAATAACAGAATTTTATAATTTTATAGGATTTGGAAGTCCATCTGCTATGCAAGCCGGCTCTACAATGGAAAATATGCCAAAAGTATTTGGAGAAGTGGCAGGCAGCAGTACGTTCGAGTCTTTGGCCAATCAGTCGGGTGGTCTCAGTTTCGGTAGTTTAGCTCAAAAGAACCCAGAACCAGAGAAACCAACATTCACTGCGTATGTAGTCTCCATATCAATAAATTTTGAATTGATCGAGTCAATAATAGTAACAATAAAGAGATGTAGAAATAATTTGTAAATAATAAACAATTGTCTTATTTCAGCGGCAGCTCGTTCTCCAGTTGGAGGTGAATAAAGTATAGTTGCGGCAGATTTATCTTCAAAATTGTTATGCATCTAGCAGAATACAAAATTTCTATTGAACGGGAATGATTTAAAATTACAATCGTGTATATACTGTTTTACATTCAGATGTACTTTTTATGAAACAAAAATCATTATCTATTATGTCTTGTACTGTTGTAATAAATGAGAACCGATCTAAGTTTTATAATAAAATATTTACAAGTCAAATAAATAATTAACATTATAAGTTAAGCCTGAAAATCGTGCAGCGTGCCATTTTTATGTCGAATACTAAAGATAATTAAATAATTAAATACTGAAAGATAGCTGCAATTATTTTGCTCTTCTTTTTTTAGTGAATATTCTTAACATTTAAACATATTTTTATCCTTATTGTTTTTTACACATCTTTTGCATGATCTTTTAGTTCTGTTGGATGAAAAACAAAATTAGTTTTTGATTTTCACTTAATAAATTATTGTTCTAACATGTTCAAGACATCTGTTATTTTACCTTACTGCTCAAAATTTAGTGACATTCGATTCGAAATCAGGTCTCTACGATAAATACTATCTCGATCTTTTTTTACTTCGTATTATATCGTAATGATTTCTTTGTACAACAAATTAACAAATGTGTTTAAATAGTATGTTTTATTAACAAACTAATTCTCTATATGCGTCAAGTATTAAATCTTGATCTGTAAAAATACAAATTGAATAATCGGAAAGTATAAATTGATTATTGTATAACGATGTAATCGTATCATATGCCTCTTTTAATGGCTTTCGGTGCAATTGACACTTTCGTAGGTTTACATAAATCAATTACACATGGATCATCTAAAGGCGAGTGTGTGCAAATCGAAGCAGAAGGTAACAGCAATGCCAAGGAAATCTCTACGTTACAGGGCTCCATCCATACTTGATGCGACAGAAGAACCGTCGTCCTCAATCTGTAATCTTTCTGATTGGATTGCTGCATACGCAGATCTGACTGTCGCGGTAACAATAATTGCACTTGTTGATCCGGATGCCTCAGCTTTATTCGCAGTGTAGAAGGATCGCGTAGATTCAATATCTTGGCATTTAGGGAGATTCCTAGCAAAAGACCGCCCGTGAATTTTAGTGCGGCATCGGCGTCGCCTCTCGGTTCCTCGATGTACGCTCGGCAAAAGCGCGTTGTCGCTGATGGTCTCGGCAGTCGTTCTTCTCCCTGAATCACTGGTGTCAATAGTAACGGTACTAAGAGCCGCGTCAAAGAACCCGGTTTCACATCCGCCAGAGTGGGTATCTGCAGAACCAGAGCTCTGGAGAACGGCGGCAGCCTCGATGTATCTTGAGGCAAAGCGTCCGCTTCCGATAGGAAGTAACGAGCTAGTGGTAACGCACTGCCGGTCGCGCTCTTAGTTACTCTAACTAATTCTATAGCTAGCGCTTTTAACCACATATCATTGGCCAATATAATTTCGTTCTCGCCTAATCCACTAAATAAACGTTGTAATCTGAAAAAAATTTTTTGTGTAAATTCTTGTATTATTTTTTTATCCATTTAAAAATTTTTCATATCAATTTCCAACAGTACCATATTAAAGGTATACATACTTTTGCGTATGTTGAAGAAGAACAAAGATATTGTTGTTGGTATTCGGTATCGAGCTAACCGAAATAGATGTTGCCGAGGACATGGAACATTCTTTGAGGACGGACCTCAATAACAGCAGGCATCGAATATACAAGGCGGTGAAACGTGCCGCGCCTTCCATGTGATGATCCATCTCTGCTAAGCGATCAAGATCAATGGCTGCGGTTTCCAAAAGCTGTGTATGAACTCTGCCTCCCGGTCTAGCATTCTCGATACCGGCTACCATTTTCTCCAAAAATTCTCGACCACGTTGATCTCTGATCTCTTCGTTATCTTCCGTTTTGATTCCCGAGCCGCTTGTAAGTGCTGGCCGTAGTCGCGGAACCAGATGCGGCATGGTGTCGCGCAAATAATGATAATGTTTGGAAGCATGCTCTGTAAACAGAGCGTGCATACTTGGACAATGTAACGCGGCGTTGAAGATTAAAACAAGTACACTTGCATCTATCGTGAAAAGTTAAGAATATTAAATATAATTTAAAGAAAGTCTGCGATTACAGAACAAGAGACTGTTTAAAGGATACAAGACGGTTCATCTACATCTGGCTCGGGCGTGTCGAAGAAGGGATGTCGGCCGAGAAGTTGTGGTACTAGAGGCAACGTTAAATATGGATGTGATGCACCTAATGCTGCTAAACAACTTCTGATACTCTCCCTGTCCTGAGGATATCGAGTTAAATTATCTAGCAAACGATTAACACACATGTAAAGACAATTGGTAGTGGCGAGATGACTAGCGGCTAGCATAGCGTGCAAGCCTTCTCTCACTTCTCCCGAGAAATCTTCCAATGCGCCTAAAATTGTTTCCAACTGGTCCTCTCGAAGAGTTACGCTTGCTGACATTTTTCTTAACGATTCGATAGCTCTTAATCTAACATCCTGGATTTCATCATTGAACATGTCCACCATAAAGTCCAATGAAATTCTAGCTATACTTGGTTGTTCTAATGAAAGTGTGCAGAGCGCTTCTACTGCTGCTGTTCTTACCTGAAATGATATTTAGTTATAATCGATAAAAAGCAAATAAAATATAAAATATAAAAAAATAAAAATAAAACTTCCAAAATAAAATTTTAGAATTAAAAAATTAAATTTTGGATAAAACTTGATTGAGACATAATAATGAATTTTTGAATTGATAAATTAAATATTTTAAGAAAATTATTATTGTATATATTGTAAATAAGTGTGTACCTCTAAAAATTCATCTTCTAAACCATGAATAAATGCTCCGCAAGATCCACTTTTCTCTTCAACCTCGGATCTGTCTGCTTCAACTACTTTCTGTTTTTTATCCAACGCTTGTTCGATATAACGACGCGATACACTTTTCATAGTTCCCAAAAGCGACATCGCCGAAGCTCTTACTCGAGGTGACAAATCACCCATAAGACTGCAAATTTGTGAAAAAGCACAGTCCACCATACGTACATCTTCTCCATCAGTTCCAACAACAATACTGTAACATATAAAAAAAACAATTTTAGAAACAAAATAACATAATAACAGAGTTAAAAAAAAAAGAATTTAAAATTACACATGACTATATAAAATAACTTATAAATAGATTTCAAATTCAATTCTAAATCTCAAAACATATACATTTTTCGTTACATTTCAGTTTTGAGACTGATTTAGATAGTTAAAAATAAATAAAAGAATAAAAAGTCGAATAAATAATTAACTCGTGTGGTTTAACTCATGTGTTAGCATTACCTTGATTTAGATATTGAAAAAAATTCATCGTAAGGACTGATCTTTAAAATATATTTATGTTTATGCCATATACTAACTTTTCAGGATATTCTCTACCAAGAAGCCAGATAAGTTTCAAAACAGCTCGGCGTACAATCTCGTAATCATCACGAAGAGCTGCACAGGCTTCTTTAAAGAAACTTGCAGGAAGCCTGCAGCCTCTATGAGAATGCAACTCTGCCATAGTCTCAAAAGCTTGAGCACGTACTCTTGGATCTTGAGAATGTGCATAATTGCCGATTAATGATAAAATATCATCAGCAGTATTTGCAGTTAGATAACGTCCAATGATAGAAAGACATCGTGTTTGAACACCATGCCATGTATCAGGCAGATGTTCCTGTGCAAGCTTTAATACTAGTGTCCTACAAAAAAATTTGTTCATTAATTTATTGATGGAAAAAGATAAATGGAATTTATCTTTTCTCTTACAGCAAATATTTAAGTTACAAACAAAATTATTTATTTCTAAAAAGATAAAAAAAAGAAAATATACAAGATACAGCATACTTGTATACCTTTGATAATCTCCCAATTTTAACAGCGTCGCTAGTCCCTGACTCTTTACTTTGTGTGATTCCTCATTTCTTAAAAGCTCAGCTGTTTCATTTACAATTTTTGCTTTTTCCAATGTGTCTGGTGTTACTTCTCCCAATTCAGCAAACACCCAGAAAATCTTAGCTCGAACTGCAGCTTCGTTCTCAACAGCAAATCTCTCCGCTAGCTTTTTTATAGCGACAGAAACATCTTCCGGTGTTATATACGCTATAGTATCCGAAATACGAACAAGCAGTTGTAAAGCATCATTTCCACTCTTACATTTTTCTAGGCATTCTATATAAGCTAATGCTGAGCTGCTGTCAGTAGCACTTTTTGAGCTACTTGTCGATAATAATCTCAGAGTCTTTAGTCGCTTGGGGGGTTGTTCGTTAATAATCTAAATAGAAATTTTGTAATTTATTAAAATAATGATTTAGCTATACACTTTGTAAACAGAAGGAAATAAATCTTACTACCTGACTCTGATTAAATTCAGCTAGCACTCGTTTCTTCATTAAAGCTGCCATTTTTGAGACAAATGCTTATTTCATTATAAATTAGAGATAAGCACTATCTCTATTATTTTCTAACATATTTTAATTTTAATATACGATATAACCTTCTCGCAAATCATATACAAATATATCATGCCTTGAATTGATATACAGTACTGCCAACTTTTATAGACAAAATTTTAAATATCTCGATATCGATAATTCATATAATCGATAGATCAAGATATTTCAAAAAACTTCGACTAAACTCAGATTAATTTAATTTATAATTAAAATGGATTTATTAGAATTTACAACAAATTTTCTAAGTATATTTGTTGTTTCTAACCTAACTTTTGTTTATATGTTTAATTACTTTCTTTACGCAAATTGTTTAACATATTGTTTAAAACACATGAAGTAATGCAAATAAAAATCAAAGATTGAGATCGACATTAGAATAAAATTTGGAATTTGACCAATCCGAACAAAATTCACTAATTTTAATCTTAATTTCTAATCTGCTTTAGATAGCCGCTTTAAGATTAAAATATTTCAAATAAAAAATTTTTAATAATCATTCAAAAACTATTATTATTAAAATAAGAAATT